TATAATACAATGTATGCGCCGATGATGATTATATGGCAGCATAGGTAAATGAATATGGATAATCATAAGCAAGAGAAATACCATCTTGATCCAAGGAGCCTGGAAAAAACAGTACCCCCCGGAGACAGCATTCTTTGCAAAATTATGCTTAACAAAGTTAAAAACACCACACACAACTGGAACTTTGAAAGGTCTGCCAAGCACATCAATAAGGTGGATCCTATTCAGCATTTGATCCATGCCATGACGCTGAAACGAGAAATTAAACGAAAACGAGAAAAACACCAAAAGAAAATTTACATTGCAATAAAACATGACATATATGCTTAAGGGGAATATAAAATCGACTCAGGGGGAGGGAGGGTGGGTTTAAAAATTTTGTGCGTCTGCTTCTCTCAAATTACGGAATAGAAAGGAATATTCTAGAAGACATGCGCATTCAACAAATATTTTTGAGCACCGAACCCGATGAATTATGAACGTAATGATTAGGAGTTATCGATCTTAGCATATGTAAAAAACTAAGCTGCGCGAAATAACCAGGTTTATCCATATTTGATAAACTCCATTATTTCGCGACATTGGACTTGGACGACAACAGAAACAAACATGATCAGATAAACCCTGTAAAAGGTTAAGGATGTCTAAAAATAGTCAATAAAACAAGTCAATAATTGTTTTGGCGTGCTTGTCATGGCCATTTAATAAAATATTAGATATAATACAATGTATGCGCCGATGATGATTATATGGCAGCATAGGTAAATGAATATGGATAATCATAAGCATGAGAAATACCATCTTGATCCAAGGAGCCTGGAAAAAACAGTACCCCCCGGAGTTTGCAAAATTATGCCAAATGGGTCAAGGGACCAAGTCACATGACCCATCCGCCACAAACTAACATTGGGGCGGCAATTTTGCAGCCCAAAGTAACAATAAAAGCACAAATTGTGCACACAAAATTTGGTACTAATTGCACCGAAATTATGCCAAATCGGCTAAGTCACATAAGGCACAAATTGTGCACAAAAAATAAGGTACAAATTGCACCAAAATTATGCCAAATCGGCTCAAGTCATTTAAAGCACAAATTGTGCACACAAAATAAGGTACAAATTGCACCAAAATACAATTGGCTCATGACAAGCATCAAGGAAATGTTGACGAAACAAAATTACAACCATGAAATGATCCAAAGCATTCCTCAAAGTATTGATAAAAATACTGTTTCCCAAATCTGACAAATGAACTCCATCTTTTCTAAATAATTCCTTGCATTGAGCTCTAATATCTGGATAACTGACTGATGCACCCCGACCCTGAAACTTATTTAGCACAAATGTAGCACAGGCACTATTAATTCTACGTCTACAGTTTTGTCCTTCTGTATTTGCAAGACAATTAATCCAATTATTTCGAGGCAAAATATGTGACCAAATTTTAAAAGTTTGTGGAGGTAAATTAGCAATATTTGCCAAAGTTGACTTGTAATATTTTTGAAGACCCCTTAATGTATTGTGAGCCTGACCAATATTATTGCCCCCACAATGTATAATAATAATCTTTGGCTTCTTGTCACGAGCTAACAAAAATTCAATTGTGGGATATAATTGCTCCCAGACCATACCCCGAATTCCATGCCACAAGATGTTGGAAGACTCCTGCCCAAGATTCTCTTGATTTGAATTCTTCGCATATATGTGAGCCCAATGAATAATTGACGAGCCTATGATCCAAATCGAATCTAAATATAAAATTTAAAATTGATGAGCAAATTAAACACTTATTATTATTATTTTTTTTTTTGAATTGTAACTTTGTGTCATATGACAATACATATACAGTGTAACTCAATGTAAATTTACAACGAACATGGTCTTATGTACGATTTGTAAGCTGCTGACTGCCACCTTCCCATCTGCTTAATATGATCCTCTGAAAACCCTTTTGTATACAAGTGAGTTGCACCCCCAATGCGAAATGAGTGCGTCTTAAATTGAGTTGACTGTATATTCAGAAACTGCAAAGCTTTGTTTAACATGGACGAAAACTGGTATTCGGTTAAGGGTTTGGAATTTAAATGAGAGAAGTAGGACACCCTTTTTACATTGGTACTTAATGCAGCAAACGTCTGCAAAGATTGAAACAATAAATTTGTATCATTTGATTTTTTCACATGCACAAATGCCCCCGCACCAATTTGATCAGTCTTAGATGTTTTGATAAAGATTTCAATGGTATCACTAGATACAGTTATATGCTGGACACCCAAAGCCACCACTTCACTCACCCTTAGTAATGCAAAGAAAGCCAATGCAAAAGCAGACTGAAATAAAGCTGCTTCAAAATCAGAAAAACACAAATGTGGCAAAACACTGACAATGCTATTCAACAAAGGTAATGTAATTGGTTTTCTTATATCCTGAGACGGATTACATCTCTTGTAACCAGCTAACAACTTCTTAATAATAAATGAATCCACTGGATTCTGCCAACCATGCAAGTTAATGACGAAACTGATTCCTGATAAATAGCATTTGACAGTAGAAAAAGCCATATTACTCTCTGACAGATATGCTATAAAATTAATCATGTGATCAACGGGTGGGGGCCATATCTGCTGAGATGACAACTGTTGTCTAAAATTGAAAAAAACTTTGCAATCCCTGACGGTATACATTCGCTGTATTTTGAGATACACTGGCCTGCAGAAGACTGGCTACAGTTCCTGAATAGCTCTCCAAAACTGAATAGGTACCATGGAGGGAAAGGGGTCTGCCCAAGGAGCCAATTGACGAAACCTGGTCCACTGAAACCGAGAAATAGCATCTGCAATTTCATTTTTAACACCTGGTATATGTTGAGCTTTTATTTGTACATTAAACTTGAGGGTCTGCAGAACTAACATCCGGACTAATATCATAATTCTTTTGTTTTTTGATGATTTGTTATTAATGATGTACACCAAAGATAAATTGTCAATATGAAGTAGGAGTTTTTTGTTCCTTAAGCTTTCAGCCCAAATCATAACCCCTAATACAATTGTTTATTTCGTAAATGTTCAGAAACGACTAATTGATATTTTTATTTCACAGTTTAGAAATTTAACTGTTTGCACTGACAATATGCAATTTGGAACGTCTGAATACTGTAATATTCAAAGAGATAATTTAAAATATTTGACATCAACAAAATAAAAAACGGGTATATGCAGGTACTGAGACAGTTGTTAAAAAAATTGTAATTTTGACAGTATCTAGTAGAATTTACTACATTGGACCATCTAATAAGTATGCATTTTAAGTTAAATGGTTTCAAAATAGACCATCATTAGTAAATAATGTATAAGACAATCATCATATACCAACATTTTCATAGGCTGAACTTATTACGAAAAGACGCAGGGATAAACAGAGAGTGATTTGAATGACTCAAATGAATCCCACCATATGGCATCCCTTCCAAAAGAGTGGTGAACTTTCAAGCATCTGCAGTGAGTAGTTGCTGAGAATAATTCGTCGGAAACTTGTTCTTATGAAAGAAGATGGCACACACGTAGACGCCAAGGTAGGATGTGAAGGAAAATCATGTATAAACAGGAGAGCTTCGTAAGTATTAAAATTTAAGGGGGCCCGCTCCGAATAAAAGAAATGAAGAAAACAAAGAAAAAACAAAAGTTTTTTCTGCGAATAAAAGGAAAAGAACTAATGTACAATCTTTGAAAGATAAATTTAAAGCTTGCTAATTTGCGATTATTAAGAATAATATACATGTACTTTACGGAAATTTTGTAGAGCTGTTTATGGACAATTCGGGGGAAAATAGTTTCTGAGAGACGTAAAAAATACTAGAAATTAAGGGTCCTTTATTACTAGATATTCAAATTAAAGCCATGGTGGAGTCGTGAATCATAAGAAGTCAGAGGGGCATCGATATGCAGAAGAGACAAAGAAAAATCGGGAATCCTGTCCTTGTGAAAACACCAAAAACATTACAGACTCTAAATAAAACTGTATATTCTTGTTTGAAGAATCGTTTTTGGAATGCTTTTGCCATGATAGCAAAATGCGGCAGACAACTCTAATTTTGCATGGATGGCCTTACTCGACCAAAAAAAAAAAGATTTCAATTTTGGTAATACGTAAAAAAACGAAAACAAAGTAGCAAGGAGTTCATCAAAGCTATTTCTGCTGTAGAGAGATGGAAAATTGAATTAAATCTTTAAAAAGGCGAAGTTATGTACCTTCATTTCAGAAGGTAGCACTGATGTCTTGAAGGTAGAAAACGAAATTGTACAATTTAATCATATCTCGCATGTACCTGTACTGGCGCACTGCAACATTACATGAATACAAAGCATATTTTTTCATTCTCAAATAATTTAAAATAATTATAAATTCATTTTTTTAATTTTTTCCCTTCTTAAATGTGTCCTTGTAACAAGACCGTGTCATCGTAACAAGACATGCTATTATAATATGATTTTTGCGCCTTAAAGTGCACCCCGTTTTCTTGCCAGGGGCATCACATTTGCCAATTTCAAAACGAATTCGAACCACATAACAAAGTCCTTTAAAAATGTAGCAGATGATGCGTCCAAATTCAAGCATCTTAATCCAGTTTGGCCATTCTATCTTTTAAAATGCATACCTTAATAATCAAATTAAACATCGTTCGATAGCAGGCGCATTTGGTTATTTAAAATGTGCCTGCAATTATTACTAATTAAATTTATTTAAGTGGTTCAAATTTTCTTATATCAATATATTTTCATTACAACATACTTTTTTCAACAAATACAAGACATATATGACATAATAATTGCTGAAAAAGTACTTTTGTTCTACAAGTTCATTAATTAACTGACATTACTATCATCACTCTATTTCTTTAAAAAGACGTTCATAAAACATAGAAAAAGATTTCTGTCACCGTTTCCTATTATATCTACTCATTACTAGGGTTAGTGTAACGTGTATTCCTATCTGTAATGATAATCGAGTTGTCACTCTCCGTTTGCTGATTCCACCCGCCAGGAAATGTAATCCCTAGGCTTTCTTTTAAAGACCATTACCGCAATTTGACACGGACATAAGTCGTTAAAATGGCGTCGTGATCCATGTAATTTTAGTATGATATGCGTCGAACAACGAAAATAATTTTTTCATTACTCTTGGTGTTAATTTTACAAAACATCAGGTGCCCCATAATATAAAAAGGTTGGGCACCTTAGCGTCTGATAAAAAGTCGTTAGCATTTTACCAATGCTCTACACAGCTCTGTTAAAGGACAAAATATCAATTTCCTACCATGACTGGTCATTTGAAATAAGCTTGGTTTGAAGAGTGATTCATTTGAAGAATGCAGACCAAAAATTTTAACACCTTCGTTAGTTTCCTCATATTTATTGCCTGCATTGCAGGTAAGTTGAAACAATATATTTTTTCTGAGCATTTTTTCCTCACTTTTCTAAATAAAAAGACAAAAAAAAAAACAATTAAATTTACATGTATCAAATCATATCGCTAGGGTGTTAGACTTCTACACGCTCTTTTCAAAGAATTTTAAATGTATCAACTTAGATAAGACATATTAATTCTCTGCTTTATAGATGAGTGAAAAAATGATACATGTTTTTCATTTTCAATTTTTATTGTAAAAGCCCTATATATTTTGAGTCGGCTCAGTCTAACCTAGTACGTTAAAAGATTATATCAAATAATATTGATCACTTCAATTATTTTTTTTAATTCAGGATTTATGAAAAATGTGCATTGAACTTATAGATGCTGAAAATGTTAAGAATTTGTTACTTCTTATTCAACTTAAACTAACATTTTCAGCTTATAATACGTCAAAAAACTATAATTTATTCCTTAAGATCACCTTCTTCAAGTTTCAGTGAATATTAATTAATCATTTTATATATAACATATAAATTTAATGTTATTAAAAATGATAGTCGATTAGTAAGTTGATTGCATGAATTTAAAGTATTACTCAATGTGCGGTGCAAATAACGAATTTCAATTATTTTGTGGTAGATCTCTTAATTCATCTAGTCCTCCAGCTATGCATTATCCCAACAAACAAAAGAGCCAATTTTGAAATCATTTCTTACATTCAAAAAACTTTCTTTACATTTAAATTTCGAACATTTTTGTTTGCTGCATTTTTTTTCTTCAAAATCTTTCAATTCTATATGTATCCGTCGTCAATCGCGCAATCAGTTTTAAAACATAATGACTGCTGTTATTATGGACTTATTCATATCCACTGAACCTGTCAAAGACGTCTTAAACAATGTGTTATGTCAATACTATAATCCATCCCCTGCTATGAACTATTGTATTTATGGGTAATTATTTAATTTACATGTCATTTGGTATAATTGAATTTTGTGCATTTTGATTTTTGCTTTATTCCACAATCTTAAGAAAAGAAAATGACATGTAAATTAATTCAAAAAGCAAACTTTTATGAATAAACACATTTACCTTTAAATCTAACTTGAAAATCACCAAAACATTTAAGCTTGTTTTGGGCGAGTATTTCTTAAGTTAATAATAAATTATTTAACATTTCATTCTGTTCTTATATTTTCTTTCTTCCCCCTTTCAGTCAGTTTCTATAGTATTTCACAAACAAGATTACGAATCCTATGCATGTACATGTATTTTGAGGGAAAGGGGTTAATTTCAAAACTGATCTCACTTCAACCAAATAAAAATCTCTCTTCTCGTTTTACCCGAGCCATGTCAAAGCCACAGCGCCAATTTGTTAAACAGGAGGTTGTGTTCAATTTAGACAGAAGAATTAATTCACATATATCTATATACCGGGTAGATATCATCGGCTGATACTAGTAGAGTAGGCGATTCTTTTAATTTGAACATTTTAAAATGCTATTTCCAAAATGAAGAAATGAGTTTCTTAATTTTTGGCCTCTTTTTCAGAACATCCAACTTATTTACTAGACCTACCAGAAGAACTGAGAGATAAACAATACCTATTAAAAAGCGATGAACGAAGCGGAAGCATATTCTTTTATTCAAGTCGTATTTTAATTCATCCTGCTATCAATATTGGTAATTCCAATCACGCACAGTGGGACTTCTACCAAGAAAAAACAAATTTTATGGCCTTTAGAAGGTAAAATAAATGTATTTTCTGCATCTGTGTTACTAAACTATTAAAATGTATGAAATTCATATTAACTTGCCCTAATGCTTTGTTATGAAGAATAGGCAAATTAAAAAAAGTTTAAATTTTTTTGTTGAATTTTAAGGGACCAATATACTTAGTACTTGGTTTTAAAGAAAGCATTGAAATAATATCAGATAAAAAAAAAATCTCTTACTTGAATACAGGACTTAGAAACATTAAAAAAAAATGTTACGAAAGGCTAGCAGATAAACATATTAATGCATTGTTCGAAAGCTTACCCATAACATTTACATTTTTAATTATGATCATTTTTCATAATGAACTTTTTAAACATTTTAATTGCAGTACAATTAAAGTTACCATTAACTCAGAAGAAAAGTACGTGTACAAATGTTGGCTGTACAAGAGAGAGAACTCATCGCTTTACTTCTTTTTTCCAATGACAAGTAAGCTTTTTTTTTAAAAGCTTTTTTTGTTGAATTTGTTAAACAGTCTTTATTTATACGAACTTACAAAGGAAGCTCTAAACACTACACGCTCTAGAGTTCTATTTATAGGGTAGTTATGCAGCTGGAGTGCCTGTAGAAGTAAGATTTTAAAAAATGGTTATTCACAGCTAATTACGCATTTTGTAATACATGTAGATTAAATATGAAAATTTTCATAACATTATATTATATGAGGAATAAGTAAATGAATTCATTTTCAATTTCTTTTTGCTCAGAAATAGTCTATTGTGTCTTTAAACATTTTTCCTACATGGAAATAAGGCAGGTACCCTATGTCGAAAATTAACTACTAGTAACTAGTCCCCAAAACGCAAACCTTCATATACATATTTTAATCTAAGTCCATAAAGCACTTTTATTAGTGTTTAGAGCTTCCTTAAGAGACGACCGTTTGATTCTGAGGATTTGGTTGGCAAAATTTTCCGATTTGGATTATTTATTCTAATGCCGATGCAGGACTTCTTTTTTATTTCCAATAAGATCATGGACAGATTATTTATTTTCTTCTTCGCTTTACTGAAAAAAAAGTCTGACAAGCCAAAAAAAGGAAACAACGAACTCGAATTCGTGGGGGATGGGGAGGTAAAAGAGCTGGCCAGAGATAGATTACTAGTATTTTTTTTTCAGTCAATCCAGGATAGATTATTGATTTCCAACTTATTGCAGGATAGATTTTTTTTCATCCCCCTCCCCCCGAATCAAAAAACCATCCACTTAGTCAGACAAATAGAATAGAACATGGCCACTTAATGTCAGTAGTTTATATTCTTTTGTTTAAAATCTTTTAATGCACTATTGACACATGTAATTTAGTACTATATAATTGCAGATCTATATGAAGGACAAAGAGTGTATCTATCGCCCGATGACAACCTCGATATCTGCGACTTCTGTACGCATACTAACACCAAGTTGTACCTACTACACAAAGGTAAAGTAAATTTCATACTCCCTGTCCCAACCGGGGGATCATTCCTGGGTATAAAACCATCAAAGTAAGAGTAATCTGTAAAAAAAAACCTTCTTTACTTCTAGACATACAGCAGTCAAAATGTTGGCGTGATTGTAATAAATTTAAACCCCTACCAAAATTTTGAAATTTAAGCCACCAGGGTAAGAGGTCCTTACGGTCCTAGAGTTAGGATGGGGCTTTAATAATCTTATAGTGAAAATGCACTTACAATAGTGTATTTGTAACTATCTCTCTCTCGTGTGGCACGATAAAGATCCCTCCCTGCTCAAATGCCCTGAGTGCCGAGCATAGGCCTAAATTTGCAGCCCTTCACCGGCAATGTTGAGGTCTCCATATCAGTGAAATATTCTGGAGAGGGACGTTAAACAGTATACAATCAATCAATCTCTCTCTCTCTCTCCCACCTTGTGTATAGAGCAGATAAAACAGAAGTAATGATGATTTATCTATATACATTGTATTTTAACATTTTCAGAGGAAGTGCAATGCGGATGCACTCCCGATTGTTCAGAATTGACCATTGCAAATAGTTGCACAGGGAATAACTTTGATACATCGTCAATCAATTGTTTGAGTGAAACTTCAATGGCAGCTACCTTAACAACAACCATTCAAGGTGCATCAAGTGAAGAATATTCTGAGAATGTATTATTAACAACGTCCCCTACACAAAAAAGTGAAAAAACAACAGCAGCATCTACAATTTTAGATCTAGAGTCGACCACGCTAACAGAAAAAACAACGCAAGCAACAACAATAACAACATCAGAATCAATAATTTTAACAACATCCGTAACAGAAATATCATGGTCAACAACAAATTCGATAGAAGAAAGTACGGAAATTAAAACAACAAAAAACCAAGAGAACACGATAGTTAGCACAATCAGACAAACTAATAACTCAAAAATTGACCCCGACGCACTTGTTGGGATAGTATCTGGTAGTGTGGTATTTCTTTATTTGGCAGCAGCCTTGATTGGTTGTGGATGCTGTTTGTTTATTTTAGGAAGGAGGAGGAAACGCGCGAAAAAAGAGAAAGAATCACAGGAAAATTTGGTGTCCAATGAAATGTTTTCAAGTCAAATCAATCTCAAATCTCCGGTGAATTTCCCGCCAGTGTTCGATCGTATTGACGAATCATACTGAATTGTTATGTTTTATTGCATTATATTAATTTTACTTTTCCTAAAGTTTTATTGTGGCAGTAGACTGCTCATTTGATATTTTTTTGAGATGTGTATTTCCATACATGTATATTTTACATTTGCTGATGTCTTTCCTTGTATAACAATGATAATAAAATTGAAAATCAATTTTCAATGACATGCAGTTGATCACATGATCAGACTTTCTTGCGTATGGAAAGCAAACTGCAAGAGCAATTTAGAAAGTTCCGACTGTGACGTCACATAACGTCGTAGATACGTTACGTTGCATTTCAAAATCAAAATCTAGATAATTCCTATATTTCTTCATAACATGAATAAAAACGTAAAATATAAATATAACAAATAAATTGTCATTTTTTTTTTGTTTTTCACTGGGGTATGACCGACTTCATGTCATACCCAAATGAAACTCTAAAAAGGATATCTCATTTCTTTTAAATGATAAAATATGACTTTTATTCACGGAGTCACAAACGAATATACTATAATTTACACATGTATACTATTGATCTTTTTAAAGTTTAAAATACAATATATTTTACTTCCCTGTCTGTTTATTGAAATGAGAGAAAAGTGCTGAAAACCAAGTGGGCGCACTGACAGACAGACAAACGAGGCGGAGACCTTTAATATCCTCTCCGGTTTCGCCAATAGGGGTCTTATGAATAAGATGTATAATATTGATATTGATGTAACCCTTGGTTGCAAAAACACATGTAGTCTATCATGATCAGTAAGTCATATTTCTTTGTTAACAGACTAGGAATGTACCCTTACCTTATCTATACATGTATAAGGCTAAGGGTGGATATGACTAGTCAGCAGGAGATGCGTACTCCTCTTTGACACCTGATCCCTACTCTGTCTTATCAGGCACGTAGCAATGAATGGGGGGGGTCTCCCCCCTCCCCCACTTTTTTCCAAACAAAACTTTTATTATTGGACATTTTCATGAAAATGCTGGTTGGCCCCCCACTTTTTGCAACAGTAAACTGATATAAGGGTGATGTAGTATTGTATGCAAAAAATGGTACTGAAAGAAGTTGTCAATGAATTTTTTTTTCTTTACATATTTCCTTAAGGACGTTCGATCCTGAAATTTTGAGCGTAATTTGGTCAGGTCCTTTATTTATAAAATTCCGCATCATTTTTAAGTTCTAACATTAAATCTGAATTCTACAGTGCAAATTTAACTATATTTAATGAAAAAACAGCGATTAATTTCCATTCAAATAGAATTAAGATAGGGACTATATTTTGTGGCGGAAGGTTTTTTAAGACGAAAATGATCAGTTTTTCCATTTTGAACTATAACAGTACTGTTAATTTTGGATTCCAATTTTTCCTTACTGGTTGCACAAAAAGCTGTTTTTTTGCAGTTAAATGTGTTATGCTGGTTCTGAAATATCTATTAAATTATTTCTTATGAATTCTATCAACAATGTGTGACAAATATAGTAAATATATTCTGAAAATCGGGGAAAAAAAATTGAGCCAATTTTAAAGTAAACTTGACACTTTTTTAGTAATATCTAAAAATTTACATCATATACCTCCGCTTTTCATGTTCTTTTCTAAATATTTAAGATAAATTTGTCCTATTTGCTTAAAATCAGAAAAAGTTTAAGACTTTAAAATAATTTTCTTGCTTATTAAATTTTCAATGCCAGAAAAATCACTTTTTACTTAGTGCAGAAAGGTCAAATAATTGATTATGCGAAGCAATTTAAAACTTTTTCTTAGACACAATCTTTAAGAGGAGACAGGACACATGTCACATGACTCAAAAGACATATTACGTCATAGTCGATGCTGATATACATGTTAATTTTGGAACAGTTCTTGTGTAATTTTATCCTAAAATTGGTTTTTAAACATTTATTTTCAAAAATAAATATCTGATTTATAAAGATCTTTTTTATTGTGAAATTGCCAAATCCACACATCCGTTTCTCTTTACCTTGCAGTCTGACGTCAGTGACGTCATAGAAATAGTGTTTGAATTCTAGTGCAAATTATTTCATGATCAATTTTATTTCATAATAAACAGGTCACACAATGTGTGACAAATTTCTGATAGAATTTTTAAATTAATATTTTTTCATGTTTAAAAAATTTAGATAATTTTGCGTGCCTATGTTTTCGTAAATTGATTTCTGCACAAACGTTTTTTATCATATATCTAAAAATGTCCTGTGCGATCATATACTTCACCCTTCGCTTTTATGAAGTTAATAATTACGATGAAGGACTGACATTCAATCGTAAATTTATATTTATTGATAAATTTTTTCCAAAATATTTTTGTTGTTGAAGCTGCCTTGAAAAATTAAGACTTTAAATTAAAACAAATGCTTTCAGATAATTTAAATTTTCAGTATATAGTGTTATCAAAATACTTTTTATTTGTGCAAAAATTCGCATTATGTCAAAACATAATACAAACACTATACAGGGCGATATTTGTGAGGCGAAGCAGTTTTAAAACTTTTATTCAATTAATAATATAAAAAATACGAAAAAAATTCATTGACAGGAATTTTTTTAGTTCAAGGTCCTGTTCCTCCTTAAGTGTCTTTTTTTAAACAAACTTAGAGTTCCTTTTGTTTCATGCTTTAATTGTATAAAAATATTGGAGGGAAAACGTCAGAAATATAATTTTTAATTAAGACACAAATTTCAGTGCAAAAAGGTCATATTAAATGTACTGTAGCGCCAAAAGAAGCGTATTGACCCCCATTTTTTGATTTGAATTTTAATTAAGCTATGTATGTAGAAACTAAAAATTTACCTGGCAAAAAAAGTTTAAGATTTTAAATATCAGGATCGAACGTCGTTAAGTAGCCTTTTCTAAAGAAATTAGGAAACCTGCAGTTGATATTTTTTCATGCCGAAGGAAAATATTAAAAACAAAGCAACTAGAAAAAGTTTACCGACCCTAGTAGCTTCGCAAAAATTGACGATGATTGATTGATTGATTATATACTGTTTAACGTCCCTCTCCAGAATATTTCACTGATATGGAGACATCACCATTGCCGGTGAAGGGCTGCAAATTTAGGCCTATGCTCGGCGCTTACGGCCTTTGAGCAGGGGGGGGGGATCTTTATCGTGCCACAGCTGCTGTGACACGGGGCCTCGGTTTATACGGTCTCATCCGAAGGACCGCCCCATTTAGTCGCCTTTTACGACAAGCAAGGGGGTACTGAGGACCTATTCTTACCGGATCCCCACGGGGCAATTGACGATGAAATAGTAGGAAAAAACTTTCTCACGAGTACACTTATTTTATTAGGTTAAAAAAAATCTGTAATTTAGAAGTATCGTATTGGATTTCCTAATAAACTTGTACATGAAAATATTTCTTCTAATATTTTTGTAGGTATGTCAATTCCAGTTCTCGAGAAGATTAATGTTTTGGCAAAATTTATGTACTGATGTCCTATTCAATGTATAACACGATTCCTGAACATAATACTAAAAATAAAATAACCAGTATCATACAGATACACGTAACGTAAGACCGATCAAATAAAGAATCCCAGTGTACTCTTAGATTCTATATCAACTTGATATTAAAATCTTAAGAATGTTCTTTACTTGTGGGTGTTCACAAAAACCGTTGTTTAGGGTGTCATCCAAAATAATAAGTATTTAGTGATCTTGAAGTATCAAATCAAAACAGGCGATAATATCATGAGTTATCATCTAGGGTGGAGGACAGGTAGTAGTGTCAGGTGGCAGGGAGTCAAAATAATCAATTTCTCGAGAAAATGCAAAATCATTGTAGAAGAAATATCCCAAAATAAGTTTTAAAGCATTTCGAAACGCAATTGCTCTTATTTAATTGACTATGCAGTTATTTTCCTTACAACTACATGTATATTGTATAGATATTTTCCAGAAGAAAGACAGTTGTTCAACAATATGCACTCTTAGAGGATTTTTTTTTTCATTTTAATTTAGTATATATTATAGTACTTCGAAACCAAGTGATGTTACGATCTGTGCTACAGTGTGTATATACTGCTTTAATCTCCCTTTTAATTTCAAAGCAGTCTTTAGTTGGAAGAAAACGAATTCCTTTAACGTAACTTGTATAACGTTTGATTAGATTTTGTTAAAATGCCGGTAAGTACATGTAGTTCCAGAGGGAAAATTCAGAAATGTTCTAGAAAAAGACGTTTAAGTTAATCTAACAACAAAGGTTTATTACTAGAAAAAGATGTTAATGGCAACCCAAACTTTATGACAAAAATTTCTTTACCTACAGTCGCCCGCGTTGCGCAGTGGTTACAGCCGCGAAGTAAGGAATCGATCCTTATGTCGCGGTTTCGCATGGAGACCGGTCCTTCGGGTAAGACCTATAAACCGAGGTCCTGTGTCGCAGTAGGTGGTGGTACGAAAAAAGATAAATAACCCTGAGTGCCGAGCAAGTGGTGGCGTCCCCATATGAGTGAAAAAATCTCGAGAGGGACGTTAATGTCATATAATCAATCCTTTACCTACATGTATGCAGCAATATAACCTATTTCCACCTGCATATAGGGGTTTATATCTCTCATCAGTTGATTAGAAACGCAATAGCATGCTCTACCTATGGTCAAAAAAAAATTCTTAAAGGAGGTAACTTATTGACAAATAATTTAATGAAACCCAAATATCAACAGTCTCGTTTGAAGTCTCTGTAGTCGAAAGATTGACCTTAATTACTTTATCCGACTACCTAAAGAAGATTTACATGTTAATCACATGATAAACGTGGGACCATGAAATCTCGTGAATTAAAAGCTACTAATTTTTTAAAATTTGAATCTGTCGTTGAAAAGACACCTGAGTATTTTATGGCTGTTTTCTTCACTTTTGTCCCTACCTCTTTTTCTTAACATTTATATGATAATCCATTTGGTTACTGATCCAAAAATTTCATTCATACTTTGTTATTGCTCAGACTGAATTTTGTTTACAATCGCCAGTGTCATGTTTGTTTCCCTGGTCGTGTCACCGACGAATGCAGATTTAACTCTAATCTTAATGTATTTCACTTCGGACGAGTTTGAAACAACCTTGTATAGATTTAATGGTAATCATAAACTTGTCATCACAAAGCGCATTAGTCGGTTTTCATCGATAAATGCGATGATGATGCAAAAGAGCTGGACCACCGGCGTATCATATGCATTGTTCCTTAATATATAGAATATTTATGAGATATTTTTTATAGCTTGTTACAATATCCTTCATTATATTTAATATGATTTATAGACTTCATATCATTTCCTGTTTGC